TCCACTCACGTCTCTCCAGCTCCTCACCTTCGTCCCATCTCCCTTAAGTTGTCCTGCACCATCCTGGCCACCCCTCCCATACCTCATCTGCACCCCCACCGGCTGCCGCAGCCCCCTTCCTGCAGCAAGCCCCCCTTCCTCTGCTGAGCCCATCCCCCCGCCCTGCAGCCTTAGCACACCCCTTCCTCCTCCCTCGTCTGCCTCGCCCACTGCGGCAAGCCCCTTCCCCGCCAATCACATCGCCCTCTCACCCCTCCCTCCATCTCCTCCTTGCCGCAGCCCCCCCTCCAAGTGCCCCCTCTGCCTGCTGCAGCTCGCGCTCCGCTCCGCACTAGCCGCACCCACTGCGCCAGCGCCCCCTCCTCACTGCGCTGCCAGCACGGGCGCAGGCATCTGCAGATCCTGCCTGCCGGCTCCAGCTGCGCACAGAACCGTCCCTGTTGTGGAGGAGGCAGAGGTGGGAGCTGCAGGTGCTTTGTTCACCTGGGCCCGGCCTGATGCTGGAGAGGCAGCTGGCAGGAAGGAGCCTTTGCCTGCCCGGAGATGACCCCTCCCACGGAGCTCATAGAAGGGCCTGCAGCCGATGCCCCCCCAGTTAGGGGTCCCCGTGTGCGATGGAGGCTCTTCTTGGTGATGTTGTCATTTGGGTGAAATTGAGCCGGGGCTTGGGGGGGGTCATGAATGTACCCAGGAGGGTTGGGAGTATTGGAAGTGAATGGGGAGGGTTGTGCTTTTCCAACTTCAGAGATGGGGTTGAAATGTCCTCCTTCAGGTGTGACCCTTGGGGACTACCCAGGTCCAGGTTTGTTGGGAAACAGGAGCAGGCAGTAGTGACGGCCCCTGGCTCCCAGGAGGCAGGTATTCCTTCAGAAACCTGGTTCATTTGCTCCTGGTTCCTTGCTACCTCCAGGTTGTCACATACTGGAGACCCTCAGCCTCTGGGACTGGAAAGAAGCCTGGAGCACAGGTGGTTTACTTTTCCTGCCCTATCAGTCAACGGGAAGGCCTGCTCTAGGAGCCAGCACTGGCCAGGAGAGGGTAGCCTGTACATCTCCCTTGCTGTGGTGCTGAGGGCTCTCTATGCTCCTGTGCAGCCCCAAGCCATGCAGGCGGATTGTCCACATTGAAATGGGAGTATTTTAGGGGTGGTAAGGGAAGCGGGTTTTCCATTTCTTCATTGTCCCATGAACAAGGGAAGCTTCTGGAGGGATGGGCTTGAGGAGGTGGCATGACTCCAGTCTCTTGAGAAGGGTGGAGGGTTTGGGGCATTGGATCCCTGAGGTGTCGGGGCGGAACAGGTTGGAGAAGGCTATGGGCAGCATCAGAGATGCCCTCAGGATGCTGGAGTAAAGCCCTAGGGTGACTGCTGATGACCAAGAGGGGTGCAGTGTCTGCCGGGGAGGAGCAGGAGCTGCAGCTGTCAGCAGGTGGCAGGAGGGTGTGACCCCCCGAGAGGTTCGAAGCCACAGGCTGTGGTCTGCTCTGGAGAACAGTGGGGGTGGGGCATGCAGGCAGCCAGAATCTGGGAGGAGGTAAATAAAAGAGAGGTTGCTGCCTATGGGTTTGCTGACATGGGGTGCCGTGCTGGGTGACACGAGAAGCCAGGGGTCTTGGAATTGGGGTTTGGGGAGGGGCTTTAGGTTTGGGGACAAGGTTTAGAAAAGGGACTAGGGTAAGGAAAACCTGCTATGGACAAACAACCCCTCCCCCAAATAAAACCTGAGAGCACCAGGGGAGGATAATGCCCCAAAACCCAAGGAGGGAAAGATCTGGACGAATGAAATCAACTCCGGATCATAGAGATGGGTGGGCAATGCTGCTGCCCCACCCACCTTCGGGGCTGGGAAGCAGGGAGCTGCTGTGGGCTTATCCCCTTAGGCTGGAAAATTGCCTTTCTCCAGGGATTGAACCGAGGGAAGGTGCAGGGACTTGGGGTGTATTCTCGTGCTTTTTGAAAGTGTGGACAGCTTTGCAGAGCCTGCCTTCGCTTCTCTGATATTGAGTGCTTATCACCTGTGGCCCCCGTCTCAGGAGGATGAGGACTCAGCGGCAGCCAGAAAGCCTCCTGTCTTTGTCACACACACACACCCCAGCAAGCAGCTCTGCCTTGCATGGGCTTCTGGGCAGCCTGGCCCAGCCTGCCTGGGGGCCCTCAGGCCAGTGCCCGGGCTCTGGCTCCGTGTCTTCACTCCCGTGTTTGTCCGAGGAGGGAGGGAGGGACGGGGGCGGTGCTGGGGCACCTGGAACAGCGCAGGTCACCCGGGCTGGCTGGGCGAGGTGGCCAGGCAGAGCCAAGGGGCTGCATGGGAGGCCATTGGATGGGGGGAGTGTTCATAGTGGCTGACCAAGCGTCCCATGAGTCCCACCCACCCAGGACCTGAAGTGGAGTCTGGCAAGTGCCTGATTCCTGAGTGTCTGCCCTTATTTAACTTGTCCCTGTTTCAGCGGCCCATCTACATGGTGGGGGTGGCGACTGGCTCCACCAGGATGATGGGGGATGTCAGGAGACAGGGGACAGTGGGAGGGGCCAGCAAGGATGTGCCCGCCTCTGTCCTGACAGTGCGAAGCCTGGTTCTTGCATTTCCCACCTGAAATCGCGGGCCTGCACACATGCCTTCGCCCTGAGTGCCCCAGTCACAGCTGATCTCAAGATGTCCCCTGAACCCCACACTGACACCTGTAACCTCCATCCCCAGGGCTCGCTCCCCAGCTCACAGCCGGATCAGGGATGGAGCCTCCTCGGGTAGAAGTGACCCCAGTGAGGTTGTTGCTTGGTAACATGTTGCTAACAGGACCTTTGGCCCCTGTAAGGGGCAAGTACCCTGGGCAAGAGGAGGAAGCAGGGTGGTGAGAGCAGGGGGGGACACAGGTAGGGGAGTGGTGGGAGGGTCAGAGGTGTGTGCCTCCCATCCCTGGCTCCCTTTTCTCTCCTCTCCCCTAAGTACCCTTGAATCAGAATACAACTCATTCTGTTCTGCCAGCTGTTGGCCACTGCCCTGCCCTGTGGGCCTTTGGGGATCCTGAGACCAGATGGGACTCCTCAGCTGGTGAGACAGAGTCCCCATGGGGCTCTGGGATGAGGCAGGGTTCCCATACCTCAGTGAGCAGGAGGAAGGGCGTCTGCGCTAAGACCTCAGCCTGAGACGGAGCTGGAGGCTGCACTCCAGGGGTGGGGAGTAGAAAATGGATGGATAATGCTCACCTATCCTGGTTCTTCCTGCCCTCTGCGTCCCCTGACTCCTCCCCTTAGTCCATGTCCAGGCAACCTCAGAACCTAAGGATAGGTCTCTTCCCTGCCAGGTAAAAGTCACAGGGGTCACACACGGCTCCCCCTGCAGCACCACCACCCCCATCCAACACACACAACTGTACTCATCGGGTGCCGAAGACAGGGATGTGACCGTGAGATGGACTGACTCTTTAGGGATCTTCAGCCTCGGAAGCATTCCTGGGCTCTCTGCTCCCAGCTGGCTTCACGTGGGTGGGGTTTCACAGACACCAGGCCTCTGCCCCCCCACACACACAGTGATCACGCCCTGATATAGCAGACCCCTGCCCACACACCCGTCCTGCTGTCCACCTCCCGCTGGCTCACCTCAGAGCCCCGCCGCCACCACCCTGGTAGCTAGCGACGTCACACCCTAGAGTCCTCAGCCTTTCCCATCCCTCTCCTGCATTCCCACTAGCCCATCAGCAAGGATAAGGCAAGGCAGTCTTTGGCACCCAGGGGCCAGCCCTGGCACATGCTCTAGGCTCCCGAAGCTCTGCATCTCACCAGCTTCCTGGTTTCAGCTCCACAGCTGCAACATCAAGGTCAGCTTGCCTGGCTTAGGGAAGCTTCTGGAGTCCCTGCTAGCCCTTCTGTCTTCCCAGATCCTCCACCTAAGCCTGGACCCCTACCTCTGCATCTCCTCTGTCTGACTCAGCCAGTCCAGGGAGTTGGGGGTGGGGGTGGGCGTGGCACTTTCTGTAGCTCACACCTGTGTCCGGGCAGACCTAGTGAGTCTTGAACAACTCAGACCCCACTGACACAGACCCGGATCTCCAAGCCTCGAATTCCCTGTAAAAGTTGTCACTGTAGCCTCAGCAGAGGGGTTAACACGTCCCTTTGGCTTGTTCCGGTGCCAGGAGACTCTCTTGGGTTTGAAGCTGCCTAGCGCGTGCTGTAAAGGCTCCGTCGTAGACACCACGGCTGACTGCGGGCCCAGAGCAGCCCTCTGTCTGCAAGTGGGAATTGGTTGTCTTGAATGGTTCCCACTGTAGTGCCACCGGTAGCTGGTATCTCTGTGCAGTAGCCCAGGATAGAGAGAGGAGCGGAGAGCTTCATCCAGAACACTGTGGGGACAGGGAATGTGTCCAGCTTGGTGGGAGCCTCTGGGACCCAGTGCCTGCACACAGTATGCTGTTATTCACCCCAGATTGGTACCCAGGGTCTGGCAGGATGCTGCCACTGGTCCTGCAGAACTGTCTTCACCAGACACTCCACTGTCTGTCAATCAAGTGTGGCGCTAGATGGCGTCTGAGACTGGGGAGGGCCAAGAAGAGGACGGTTTCCTCTTTCCTCGCTGGGCCGAGGCTTGAAAGCCTCTATCAGGTTTCCCACCTAAGTCAGGCAGCCTCTCCCTCTCCATGCAAGGTCCAAGCTGGCTCTTTGAGAGCCCTGAAATGACTCTCCTTGTATTCCTGAGATGCTGGGATATACCACATAATACTCCTAGCCTGAGGTCAGCCCTCTGATAACTCAAGAACACCTGTGGTACCCCATCCTCAAATCTCATCCGGGGCTGTAGGAGGTCCAAGCCACAGGAGCCCAGCCTTGCCCTACCCTGTCCCAGTCTCCACCTTCGCAGTGGGCTCCTAACCCGAGCTGAGCCCAGCCTTGCCCTACCCTGTCCCTGTCTCCACCTTCGCAGTGGGCTCCTAACCCGAGCTGATCCCTGTCTTGGGCAGTGCATCCTGGGCCACTTCTCCCTGTCACACCATCCTTTCCCATCCCACAGGTGAACACCTGCGGATCTGCCCCCAGGGCTACACCTGCTGCACCAGCGAGATGGAGGAGAACCTAGCCAACCACAGCCGCATGGAGCTGGAGACTGCGCTCCATGACAGCAGCCGTGCCCTGCAAGCCACACTGGCCACCCAGCTGCATGGCATCGACGGTGAGCAGGGGCTGGAGGGTGCGGACTTGTGGCGGTGGGGTGGGACTCCAAGGCTGGGATTTGGATGGTTAATGTCAGCAGAAGGGTGTCCCTCTTCCTGCAGAGCTTGAATGGAACAAGGGTCCTGGGGAGAATGGGCCTGCCCCTCAGGGGGGACCTGATGCTCTTGGGGTACCTATGTGACCCAAGCAGAGTTCCCTTGACTTACAGAGGGCTGGTCTGCATCCCAGCTACACTTTTGGGGTCCCTGTAGTAGGTCACTATCCCAGCTACCATCTTTAGCCAGGGGCTTCAAGAGGCCAGCTCAGCTACCTTTTAGCATCATTTATTTATGAACCCCTCATGTGCTTTCACTATATATGGGCAGAGAACAGTAGCCCAAACAGTGATGACATGTTCAACAGGGACTACATGGTGCCCTGGGCTCGGAAGAGTCCCCTAGAAATTTAACCTGTAAGTAACGAGGTTCACCGACTCCAGAAGGAATGCAGGGCCCAGGCAAAGATGTGGTCCCTGCAGTCGAGTGGAGATGGGAAAATAGAATCTGTGAAGGTTTAGAGGGAAAGCATCGACACCCTGAGTCTAGCCACAGCTGGGGCATAGCTTCAAGGGTTTGGAAATGACAGGGTATATCAGAGAGCCCTAACCATTTGCATACTCCACATGTGTTGCTAAGCCTTCCTTTGTTGCTTGTGGAAGGGAGGGGCCTAGCAGTCACAGACCTTAAGACTCACTTCCAAGGGGATGCCGCAACCAGGTGGATGCCAGGATGCCATCGCAGGGCTGTGGAGTACAGTGACATTTCTCTGAACGTCAGAATCTGATACACATGTCCACACCCCACCAGAAAGTATCCGTCTGAGGTGCTGGTTTGCAGGGGCAAACAGGTTCTTGAAACCTGAAGCTGGGGGCAGGGTTTGCTGGAGAGCACGAGGAGGAGGGCTGCTTAGAGCGACTGGGAGCACTAGGGGGATGATGGGAGAGACAGGCAGTTGGCAGGTAAGTAAGGGTCACTCTGGTTCCCCCGGCCACCTCCATCCCAGCCCCTTCCAGAGTCAGTGGATCTCAGTATCTCTTAGTTCTAAGGCCCAACTCAAAAGTGCCCTCTGGAGCCCCAAACCCTGTGGACAGTCCTGACTTCTGCACCACTAATAAGGAGAGAGGTCTCCAAGAGCCTGAGGAACCCTCTGCAATATGGTGCCCAGCTTTTACTGCCTGTATCAACAGACTCTGAGAAGCAGGGGGTATTGTGCCAAGCCCACAGGTAGATTGGTGGGGGAGCAGAGCCTGCCTCAAGGGGTCACGACTCTTCTCTGTGCACAGACCACTTCCAGCGCCTGCTGAATGACTCGGAGCGGGCACTGCAGGATGCCTTCCCTGGGGCCTTTGGGGACCTGTACACACAGAACACTCGGGCCTTCCGGGACCTGTACTCTGAGCTGCGCCTCTACTACCGTGGCGCCAACCTGCACCTGGAGGAGACGCTGGCGGAGTTCTGGGCCCGGCTGCTGGAACGCCTCTTCAAGCAGCTGCACCCCCAGCTGCTGCCGACTGATGACTACTTGGACTGCCTGGGCAAGCAGGCCGAGGCCCTGCGGCCCTTTGGGGATGCCCCCCGGGAACTGCGCCTTCGGGCCACCCGGGCTTTTGTGGCAGCGCGCTCCTTCGTGCAGGGCCTGGGTGTGGCCAGTGACGTAGTCCGAAAGGTGGCCCAGGTACACATACTGCCCGAGGCTCTGAGCAGACCCTTGGGAGTCAGGCCCTCATGCTGTGCCCTGGGTGCCCGGTACCCTCCACTCTCAGCCCTGTCCCTCTGAGCCTTCTGGCCCTCGGCCTCACCGCTGGGGTTCTCACAGCAGCTCCTCAAATGTGAGTCCACCCTGAGCCTGGCCATCTGCTGTCTGTGTCCTTAGCCAAAAGAAGCTGTGGCAGAATGGAGGGGTCTATTGTGCTCGGGAACCAGGAAAATGATGTAGTTGTGCCTTGAGCAAGCTGAGGGTATGGGGAGGGCACCAGCTTTAAATGGCACTGCCCCGTCTCTCCTTAGTCCAGCAAGTTACCTCCCAGCCTCTGGGCCTTGGTTTCCTTACCTGCAGGGAAGCCTAGTGACAGCCATAGTACCCTGGCACTGTGACCATTGGAATGTGGACCTGAGATGGCCTGAGCTAGGCAAAGTCCGACAGCCAGTTAGAGCAGAACCCGTGTTCTAGCTTGCATCCCAAGCCCTTGATAGTGGCGCTCCTGCGGGGTAGCTGATGACCAGGTGCTCAAGGACTACAGGGAGCCTCAGGCTGCCTTTGTTCCCCAGGTTCCTCTGGCCCCAGAATGTTCTCGGGCCATCATGAAGTTGGTGTACTGTGCTCATTGCCGGGGAGTCCCTGGTGCCCGGCCCTGCCCTGACTATTGCCGAAATGTGCTCAAAGGCTGCCTTGCCAACCAGGCCGACCTGGATGCTGAGTGGAGGAACCTCTTGGGTGAGCCCTACCCCCAGGCTGCCTGACCTGCCCTTAGGAGCACCATACAGGGATCCTAGGAGATAGTAGTTCTGGGCTTGGATCAGGCTTAAGGACCTGATATGGGTGGGTCTGTGGGGTTAAGGGACAGATTCTTTCATTCTTGTCCCAAGGGGTGTGGTCAAATAGCTGTCTCAACCTACATATACACCAACACAGGTGAAATGTGACAAGCCTATATATGCATGTACATACACTGACACATGTGCAAACTGGCATGTATGTGTGCTGCACACAGTAGGCCAGTCTGTGTGGTGTGCACAGGGTCTCCCTGCCAATCGCAGGTGTTCCTACATGTACTGGCGTAAGGTGAGTTGACATACACACATGCCAATATGTATGAATCACTGTGTATGTCTGTCGATATGGGGTGAGTTAGCATGCATACATGCCAATATATATGAATCACTGTGTATGTCTGTCGATATGGGGTGAGTTAGCATGCATACATGCAGGTACATAGCTGGCATGAGCTGGTTAGTATGCTGATGATCATCCGACAGAAGTGTCGGCACTAAGAGCCAGTGTGTGCATACAATTACGTCTGTACTATATGAAAACATGAACATGCAGATACACAGTTCATGTGTATGGGCCCTGGTATGAGACACATCTACATGCATATGCATTAGCTTATGTGGGCACAAAGTAGCTATCCATGCGTGTTGAACACATGCATGAACTAACATGAACTAGGCCAGCAAGATTACCAGATGAGGATCTGGTCTTTGTGGAAACCTATGCAAAGTGTATGAGTATCCACTATTAATGCTCTGAGCTGTGCATGAGTGTAAGCTGGTCCAGTCTGAATGGGAGCGCGTGACCCTCTGCTGACCAGTACCTCTGACTGGGGCCGTCAAGACTGTGTGTTATTAACATGCACATGTGTGTGCTTGTGTATTAATGCCTCTGCCAGACTCCATGGTGCTCATCACTGACAAATTCTGGGGCCCATCGGGTGCGGAGAATGTCATTGGCGGTGTGCACATATGGCTGGCGGAGGCCATCAACGCCCTCCAGGACAACAAGGACACACTCACAGCCAAGGTGTGTGAGGAGGGGGGTGTACTGTGAGCACTGGAGGGTCTATCCAGATCTGGGCCTGAGAAATCCTGCTACCCCTCCAGACCCCCTTTGGTGTCTCCCCAGGTCATCCAGGGCTGTGGAAACCCCAAGGTCAATCCCCATGGCTCTGGGCCTGAGGAGATGCGTCGCCGTGGCAAACTAGCCCTGCAAGAGAAGCCCCCAACAGGTACTCTGGAAAAGCTGGTAAGTTCAACCATCTTTTACATGTGTGGGAGGGGACACAGGCAATCTACCCCCTGGCTTTTCACTGGTATGACTGCCACCCAACAGGTCTCTGAGGCCAAGGCCCAGCTCCGAGACATCCAGGACTTCTGGATCAGCCTCCCAGGGACACTGTGCAGTGAGAAGATGGCCATGAGCCCTGCCAGTGATGACCGCTGCTGGAATGGAATATCCAAGGGCCGGTAGGTGCCCACCACTGGTCACGTCCTCACAAATGTCCCAGAGCATGGGAAGACGGGCTGGAGGCTCACACGCCTTCACCAGCTCCCAGCAGTGAGCACATACCCCCTACCGTGGGGCCTGCATGAGTTACCAATAGGTTGGAGGCTCATTGGCTCTTGGGGTGTGGTGAGGATATTCTACACTGTGGTTCGACTCCCTTGCAAAAGTTAATGTGATGAGTCGTGGCTCTGCCCGCCCTGCTCTAGGTACCTGCCTGAGGTGATGGGTGATGGACTGGCCAACCAGATCAACAACCCTGAGGTGGAAGTAGACATCACCAAGCCTGACATGACCATCCGGCAGCAGATCATGCAGCTCAAGATCATGACCAACCGCTTACGTGGTGCCTACGGCGGCAATGATGTGGACTTCCAGGATGCTAGTGAGTCCCAGCCAGGGTGGATTGGGGAGTGGGTCTGCCCTGCTCATAAGAGGAAGGGTAAAAGGAAGGCCTCTCCAGACTCCTGCCAGGGGCCCTCAGCCCTTTACACTTATAGATGGCTGTAAAGGCCCCATGTCCCTGTAGCACAGTCGAAACCCAGCCAGGATGTCTGGCTGGCTACCATGGAACAGTGGGGAAGCGGACCTAGGAACCAACTGAGTCTACAGACTCTGGGCTTATACTCCCAGCATCACCCGGCACCCGGGTCCCCGGTAGGAAGGGCCTGCTAAAGTCTCCTGTCCTCCCAGGTGATGATGGCAGTGGCTCAGGCAGCGGTGGTGGCTGCCCAGATGACACCTGTGGCAGGAGGGTCAGCAAGAACAGCTCCCGGACACCCTTGACCCATGCCCTCCCTGGCCTGTCAGAGCAGGAAGGACAGAAGACCTCAGCCGCCAGCTGCCCCGAGCCCCACGGCTTCCTCCCGCTCTTCCTCGTCAGCTTGATCCTTGCAGCAGCCGGGCCCAGGTGGCGGTAACTGCCCCCTAGCCCCAAGGACTGTCTTGGCCAAAACATGCAACAGACAATATTTAATACCCTTGGGCCTTCAAGGCCCAGGGCAGGATGAGGCGACAGTAGCTCTGAGTCATGGGGCAGGGTGCGTGGGGTGCTGGCCTCCTGGGTCTGACTGCGCCTGTCACCCTAGCTTTTAATTTTGTATCAGGTCAGCTGCGAGCCAGTGTCCCCAAAAGCCATGTATTTCAGGGACCTCAGGGGCGCCTCTGGCAGCACACTCCTCCCTTGCCCTCCTGCACCACCCCCGAAGCTCATGAGGCCTGCCAGAAGGGCGGCTGTTAGCCACAACCCATTGGAGACCTCAAGTGAGTCTGTGCCTTCCTTTCCCGCCTCTTCCCACGGGGGACTCCCCACCAGACCCCAAGGGCCACAGATGTCAGAAACCGAGGCCCATCCCGCAGCTCCCCAGGAAGCCTGCCAGGGCTGCCAGTATGTTGCTGCCCAGGCTCTGACAGGGCTTTCAAGTGTATGCATGATACCTTCTACTCAGAAGAAACTCTGCGGCCAGGATCCCCACACGCACCGGGCCAGGACCCTGTGCCACTGCGCAGCCCAGTGAATGTGGGCTTCCTTGAGTGTGACATAGGTGAGGTGGCAGCCGGCATGGCCACACTAGGCTTAACGGCCACACTGCTTGAGGGTGTGTTCGGTCCCCTCATGTGAGCTCACAGAGTCTGGCCTTGGGGGTCCACGTGAGGAACCTCACTTCAGGGGAATAGCCAGCCACATCTAGCCTCTATCCCATTTATAAAGGTCTCCTGGCCACAGGGACGCTGGGTGGCTGGTGACACTTCAGCTCAGGGTCAATGGGACCTGGTACTGCAGGTCAGGAGGAGGTCTGGGTCCCTTCCTGACCCAGGCAGCTCTGCAGGAGCTGGGGGAGCAATGGCGGTCAAGGGCTTCTACAGACATGCACATTCGGACCCTCGGTGTCCTTGTCCACTGAGCGCTACGTCTCAGTCTTCCTTGACAGCACTGGAGAGGCTCAAGGCACCGTTTGGATTCTGGTATCCTCCTGTGGCCTGGAGATCTGGGGTGGCTGGCACAGCTCTGTCTTCCCTTCCAGGGCTTTGGGGATGCTGAGCTGCTATAACCAGGAAGCCGGTGGTCCTGACATGCAGAAGGCCTGGAAAGGCTGCTTACTGCTTTTTGTTTCTTTTGTCACTGGGTTAGGGAGGCTACTGCCAGCACAGTGAACCAAGGCCTGCCCAGTGGTCAGGATGGGGACTCTCTGCGGTTGGTCCGTGGATTGGTTGGGTCCTTGCCCTGAGCACACCCATCCTGCCAAGCTCTGCTGGTGCCACTCGGACAAGAATGGCAGGAGGCAGATCTGGGCTTCAGGATGAAGAGTGCCTGGGTGTCAGGACAGCAGCGCCCAAGCCAAGCTACTGTGTCCTTCCCCCACGAGGTTCTCTGTCACTCGGTGCCAGTGGATAACGTGTGTTCTTTGGAGTCTTTGTATGAATTAAAGGCTGGAGACCTACAGTGGACACGACCTCATGTAACTCTGGCGAGGCTGTGTCTGTGTTCAGGCACACAACAGGGCACACACAGGTCAGGACTCGTTGGAAGGGGATGAGCATGGGTTGCACCTATAGTAGGATCCTAGGGTTTCCGTGTGGTGGTGACTATTGAACATCTCCAAGTTCTGCCTGGGAAGATGCCCGCCTGGGCCAACTGAATATGCCAAAGGTCATGGGAGGAAGGGGCCTAGATACCAGGGCAGGTCCAGCCCGCCCAGGCCCCACCTACTTACCATCTCTCCAACCCACATGCATTCATTGTCTTACCCATTCCTGCCAGCTACTCTGAGGTGCCCGGGAGAACAGTGTTGGGACCAGGGATGGCCTGCCACTCCATCTGTTCTGAGCTATCCTACATCTGCAGACAGACCCTAAATAGCCTAGGGCATCCAGGGCTGACTCACCCTCGCTTCAAGGAGCTGACCTGTCCCTGTGTGAGCACACAGTGCCAACCTCCATGGCTCACTCAGTAGCAGGACTCAGAGCAGCCCTGCTCAGCCAGCTGTGACATGTCTGCTTTATCTGAGAGCAGTGGCCCACAGTGTCACCATTCAGTGAGGCCTGTACAAGCACGGGGGAACAGAGCAGAGCCCTACCCCACAAATGCTGCTTGGCCACACATCCCAAGGAGACCCCCAAACAGTTCCCAGAAGGAGGAGCCTACAAAGGGCAAACTCCTGCTGGGTATTAGATCCTACCCAAGGATACTTGCAGTGTGCAGCCCCCCTGTGGGGGCAGGGCGGAGAGGGCAGCTGCATCCTTACTGTCTACCTTCTTGCAAGTCCTGGGAAGCCCTGGTGCCAGGTGGTCCAGATTCTCCCCTGGGAGAGGGAGGGAGTGCAGTCCTCTCTCTTTGAGTGAGCAGGATATGGAGTGAGGTAGAGGCTCAGTAGAGCCCTGTGAGGAGAGCTGGGCAACCTGATGCTCACTGGTGACTACAGATGGAGCCCCCTGTCAAGCAGTCCAGCAGGCTCTCCCCGTTGGGTTCTTCTCAAACTTGACACACTTGGACACCTGTTTCGTCTGCTTTGGATTCTTGTTGAGCTGGGCACAGGCGGGCACCTGTTTCATATGCTTTTTGTTGTTTGGGGGGGTAGGACACCCATCCTTTCTGTCAGGAAAAGGAGAACACATATGAGGTGGGTACCCAACACTGGAGTCAGCAGTCAGGCCCAGGCCAGGACTAACTCAGTGGCTCCCATGGCCTTGCCCTTTGAGTGCCAGGCAATGCCAGGCCAGCACCTTGCCTCTAAGTCCTGCCGCAGTGCTGCTGAAGAGGCTGGCTGGAGGGTAGTCCCTTCTCCACCATCACTGGCTCTCAGAGTCTTCCTTAGGAGAACTCAGGAATGCACGGGCGCCCTGAACGGCCGGCCTAGTGACAGAGCAACAAGCTTACCCTGTGAGCGTCTCACACGGCTGCAGGCGACCCTGCAGACTAGTGCAGAGATTTTAACCCCACACATGCACTCATCCATGCACGTGCCCGTGCAATCTGAGCCATTAGAGGAGGAGGTTAGAGCCAGCGCGCTGACGTGGGTAGGTGGGTCGGAATGTGGGGTGCTAGGAGTCCTGGCAGCAGAGTTTGTAGAGTTTGCGAGCTGCTTTGCTGAAACGCCACGACTGCCTGGGGAGGAATGAGGCAGTCACTGCCCTGTAAGAACTCCTCCCAGACAAGGACAACCCCATGTACACACGACTCAAGGACAAACAAATTGCCCCTGAAAGTAAGACTTTAGTAACTAAGCACATCCCTTTTACACATCCCAGGAGGATGAGTAGGACCACCCATCTCCAGCATAGACCTGCTTCCAAGCTCAGTCTGAAGTGAGCCAGCCAAAAGTTTAAAATCTCAGAATGCCAAGCTCTGGTCTAAGCAATCAGCCCAACTGCCCTGTCATAGTGAGGTGTTGGGAAGTATGCATATGAACAGGTTATGGGGACACAGTAGACCCTTTCCTCACAAGCATCAAAACCTAGGGGAGGTGTGCAGGTTTTACAGTCAACAACCTATATGAAGTTTCAGATGTAGTAGATCCTGTGGCGGTGGGGCAGGGCAGGGCGGGGGCACTGACAGTCTACAGCAAACAGGCAGATTAGTGTGTCAGATGCAGACCTATACCTGTGGTGGAAGCTAGGACGGGGTCCCCAAGTGACAGAACGCCATGGAGTCACAAGGTCCTCCTCAGGAGAGACCAAGAAAGTATGTACATGCTCCCCAGGGCCCCCCACAGAGAGTCGGTGGCTGGTGACAGTGTATAATGAGCTAATGCAAAAGGGTCACCCACAGAGGAACAGCAAGATCCTCACAGAGAAGCAGAAGATCCTCACAGAGGAACAGCAAGATCCTCACAGAGAAGCAGAAGATCCTCACAGAGAAGCAGAAGATCCTCACAGAGAAACAGAAGATCCTCACAGAGAAACAGAAGTTTAAAAAAACAACAACAACACACACACACACACACAAACCTGGTGAGGTCAGCTGAGATTTGTAAAATCACAACACGGTAAAAAGTTTACCACCACATCCAGCACCTGGGAACCATTTCACAGGCAAACTGAAATTGTAAGTGGGATCAGAGTGAAAGGGGGAAATAGAAGCAACAACGTTAGGACAAGCCTTTGTGGGTGCTCACCAAAACTGAATTAGAGAAGCCCCCAGAAGAGGAGTGACTCAGAAAGCTTATGTAAAGACATAACAGCTAAGAATTATCCAAATCATGGCAGGTTACCTAGAGCTGAAAGGATTCCAAGCAAGATCAACCTGAAGATGGATGCCTGAGACATAACCAAACTAAAACTAGAGGTCAGAGAGGAAGACTTGTAACGACAGTGAAAGATCCATCATGTACAAGGGAGCCTGTGTGTGTGTGTGTGTGTGTGTGTGTCAGTCAGAGTTTTCAGCAGAAACCTTGCAGGCCAGAAGGGGATGAGATGATGAAACCAAAGTTCTGAAAGAAAAACTAACTTCCAACCAAGAACACTATACCCAGAAAAGCAGACACCCATAAATGAATGCAAAATATATTTCCAGACATAAGTTAGCTGAGAAGTCCCCAGGTATCATGTCTATGCCTGCCTAATGAGAAATGCCAGCCTGCCTGCCACCATGCTCCCTGCCATGATGGCCACGGACTCACACTCTGAATCCCATACTTTTTTTTTCTACAAGTTGCTTTTGCTTTGATCATGGTGGGTTTGTGGGGGGAGGGGTTGTTGTTTTGTTTTAAAGATTTATTACTCATACAGTGTTCTGCCTGCATGTATGCCGGCAGGCCAGAAGAGGGCACGAGATCTCACTACAAATAGATGTGAGCCACCATGTGGTTGCTGGGAATTGAGATCACCCTCTGGAAGAGCAGCCAGTGCTCTTAACCTCTGAGCCATGTCTCCAGCCCTGGTCATGGTGTTTTGTCATGACAATAGAAAGGTAACTAAGACAACTATTGGGCTGAATGAAAAGGGATTTAAATACATATCCCATGTGAACAATAACTAAAAGGCAACAGAAGTGTTTCTGCCTACCAGACGAAACAGATCTCCAGTCCAAGTTACAAGGTCACCATATTGTCATAAAGAAGGCAGTTCATTGAGCAAATATAGCAATTATAAATAAATGTGTGCCTGGCATTAGTGCGCTAAATATACAAAGCAGACAGTGGCAGATCTGAGGGGAACGTAAACATTAACTTCAGCATCCCACATTTGGTGATGAGTGTCTAATCCCGACAGGAAAGCAACAAGGAAACAACGAACTCAAAAAATACTAAAGATCAAGTGGGCTACCATGCATACATATAATTCCATTCACAGCAGAGTGCTTGTGTCTCAGGAATGTGGGCATCTCCTGGACAGGCCACATGATTAAAATCTTAACAATATCTTTCCTAACCACAGTGTTATGAAACCAGATAGCAACAATCTGAGGAACTTATACAAATTTCCACAAGTATGTGGGAATAAGTAATATGCCCCTCCATAACCAACAAATTAGAAAAAGAAATTAAAAAGGAAATCAAAGACTATATTGAAACAAATAAAAAAGTTAAAACACACCAAAACTATGGAGTGCACCAAAACAGTTCTATAGTAGGAAAAAAGAACCCAGCAGAAAAAAATATTCAAGATCAGAGCATAAATCTATGAAATAGAAACTAGAAAAACAAAAGATTAATGAAACTTGGTTTTCTGAAGCGATGAAACTATCAAACCTTTAGCTGGACTAAAGAAAAAGATCTCAAATTTTTTTCATGAAGATGAGTCATTACAACAGATGCTATAGGAATAGAAAGGACCCTAAAGGATCAGTGTAATAACTTTATACCTACACATTGGACAACCTGGAAGGAGTAGAGAGTGTCCCAGAAATATGCAACTTATGTAGACTAACTCATGAGAAAACAGCGTTTGAACAAACCTGTAACTGAAGATACCCCAAATGACAGTCCAGGACAAGAGGACTTTGTAGGTGACTTACACATGTCTAAAGGAGTATTAAATCCCTCAGAAAGCTGACCAGGAGGTGATAGTGCATCTTACAAACTCATTTTACAGGGCAATCATCTCCCTCATGCAAAAAAAGAAACACTGCAAGTCCCTGCAAACTTGTCACAGTCAGTGTCACCAGCACATTAAAGGGATCATGGAATGTGACCAAGGGGCTACCTCCCTGGGATGTAGGGAGGTTCATTATATACAGATCATGCAATACATTAGATAGTCCCAGAAGTAGGATTAAAACCACACAAAAATCACAATAGATAAAAAAAAAAAATCCTGGGCTGGAAAGATGGTTAAGGGCACTGGCTGCTATTCTAGAGGTCCTGAGCTCAATTCCTAGCAACCACGTAGTGACTCACAACCATCTGTAATGAGATCTGGTGCCCTCTTCTGGCCTGCAAGCATATATGCAGACTATATACTTAATAAAAATAAATAAATCTTTAGAAAAGAGACAAAACATTTCCATTTATCCAGGTTGTCCAATGTATAGGTATAAAGTTATTACACTGATCATTTATGGTCCTTTTTATTCCTGTAGCATCTGTTGTAATGACTCATCTTTCATGAAACATTTTGAGATCTTTTTCTTTAGTCTAGCTAAAGGTTTGATAGTTTCATCACTTCAGAAAACCAAGTTTCATTAATGAATAAAGTAGCCTATTATGAGGGGTTGTGTTTTAATACACACACACACACACACACACACACACACACAGGTATACTTGATGAACAAAAACCAAACAAAAGCACCTAAAAGCCCTTTCTCTAAGATCAGGAACAAGATGAGGATCCCATTTCACCACTTCCACTCAGCTTATTGATTGGAAGTCCTAGACAGAAAAAAAGGCAAGAAGTCACATTATCTTCACTGGCCGACCATGACATGTGTATTTCCCTATAGAGTTACCTAAAACCCTGAGAACTAACAAGCAATCTCAGCTGAGTACTAACACACGAAACTGGTATAAAGCCAAATGGTTTTCTACGTAAAAACAATGAAAAGAAACTAAGGGCCAGAGGTGGTGGAGCACACCTCCAATCCCAGCACTTAGGAGGCTGAGTCAGGGGGATAGAGTTCAGGGCCAGACTAGACTGCACAGCAAGACTTTGCCTAGGCATGTAGCGCTAGGGTAGAGCTCTGGTCTCACATATGCAGAGCTCTGGGTTTGATTCTCAGAGCAAGGAAGAAAACTAGATAGATGGGACAAGGGGAGGTAGGGGAGAAGAAGGGGGAGGAGCTAAGGACACGGTCTCGTCTGTAATAACATAAAAATTACTTAGAAATAAATATAACTGAGGAGGTGAAAAACTAAACTAGAAATTAGAAAACATTGACAGACAAGTTTAAAAAGCCATAAGTAAAAACAAATGTACCATGATTTGGATTGGAGAAATTAATACTCCAAAATGTTGATACCATCCAAAACAACCCACAGATTCATTGTAATCTCTATCAAAATCTCAATAAATTGGGACTGGAGCAATGACTCAGCGGTTAAGAGCCCTGACTGCTCTTACAGAGGTCCCAAGTTCAATTCCCAGCAACCACATGGTAGCTCACAACCATTGATAGTGGGATCTGATGCCCTCTTCTGGCAAAAAGTCAATAGAGCACTTACATTTCTAAAATAAATAAATCTTTAAAAGAGTGTTAAGAAGCAAACAAAAATGCAAAATCCCAATAACATCTTTCATAGGACAACCCTAGAATTTATATGGGAGCACAAAAGGCCGAGACCCCAAGCTGTGTCTGAGGAAGAACAAAGGCTACGGAAGTGTCCCGTTTTCTAGTTAAAACCCTTATAAAACTAAAGTAATGAAAACCGTAGCAGTGCCCAGGTAAGAGCAGGCATGACTGAGAACACATCCAGC